TTTGGGAAGAAACCCCAACCTTTTCACGTCCGATCGGGGAATCGAACCCCGGCCGCCTTGGTGAAAGGCAAGTGCGCTATCCACTGCACCACCCGACCACCCTAATGACAATACTGAGTCGTAAATGGACTTGGCGACCATAAAGTGTATTAAACGTTGATATTGTTTTATGTATCGACTTTCTTGCTCCTATTTAAAGTGCTTTCAATAGTAATAAAACAAATACAATACCCATGTTGTGACAAAGCACGCTGTTTAATAAGTAACTAGATGCCGAGATACAGTGTAGTACTGTCATTGTGTTCCTTGTAAACAACCCGTTTTTAATCGAAAACCCTTCAGTATTTTGATGACTGGATTTCAGTATAATCACAATAGTTCAATTATCATAGAGTGAGACTATATTAATCTTTTTTCTTTTGGTTTACAGAATTCGTGGAAATTATGCAGCGACCATAGCAAAGTGTGAAAACGTCAACACTTCTCATCTTAATCCCTGGAAAGTTTTGACAAAGTGTTTAGGCTTCGTTTACATTTGTACAACAAAATACTCTGCATCTTGATTGATACAATTCTACAATGATATACTTGTATTTTCTAAGATTATGCTTTCAACTGCTTGAGATTGGAAGACAAAATAAACCTCTTTCCTATAAATACTCATGTACATGCATGGACAGTACATGAAGAGAATATGAATAATTAATTGTCTGTACTTACTAGCGATTTCACTTCTCCATGTAAAGATTTAGTCTTAGGTTAAACTTAAAAGAAATACCATTAGTGTTCATTGGTATATATCATTTCTCAAATTAAATGTCTGTCCCTTTCGTATTTAGGTTAAGTCAATCTACTGTTGTTTAACCTTGAAACAGTATTATTAACCGAGGACGAAGCATTATTATTCTGATTATACAATTTAGAATATTACCATAGCAGAGTTCATATTAGTAGTTAGATATACAAGTAGAAATACGTTTTCAATGTTGCAATTTCTGACAACCAGATGATAGTGGATTAGCCAATAGAAATAACGATACATCAAAGCATAATATATATTATGATATGTATACTTATTTTCATGGTTTTAGACAGAAAACTAAGAAACCATTCTGTGGTATTATTAATATAAAAATAAGTGATGCGATCCAATATGTTAATAATACTACTGAACTGCCGAAATGTGTTATGTTGTTACAGTACAAACCATCCTCGAAACTCCGGGGGTTACGCTCACTTTCGCTCTCTGCACCCCTGGAATATGTCATAACAAAATTGAAGGCTCAGTGTGGGCCACCTTGTTGAATTTCGCTTTCACGTCACGGTGAAAATTGACAGGCTTTGAAGTCGGGTGTCGCTCCTTCATAATCCGCAAACGACAGGTATCAGTCTAGCGATTGGTCAGGTTGTTTTTACCTGACACCAATCAAACAGCTATTTTCGTGCCTTCAATTTTGCTATGACATATCCCAGGGGTGCAGAGAGCGTAAGTGAGCGTAACCCCTTGGGTATCGGGGTGGTTACAAACCAGTTAATTATGTTTTTTTATTTATTATTCACTTAAAATGGATTACGCATTAAATATATTCTTGAAAGTAATGTGTCCTTGTTTTTAGCCAACACATTATTTTAAATTCACATTGCGTTATCATGTACCTGTCAAATGCTTTTGCTCGGTTTCTTAATTTGTGCAAAATGGTTTCCCTTTTAAGTTGAGATTTATTATTCAAATCGTTGTCATGGATTTTCTCCATTAGATTTGAGTGTACCTTTAGTTTGTGATTTGATGTTTCAAACTGTCACTGAACCAACACATAAGTTTGGGGACTCTACTGGAATTGTGTGTAAGCTTTTGACATATTTACAATTACTAACAATGGTGTATGATTGTACGTTTCATCTTCAAGGTACATATATATTGCTTATTATCAAAATTTGTAATTTGATTAATTTCTTTCTGCTTATTGTATTACCAAAGGGTAAGCAAAACTTAAAATTTAACTTAAAATCAATGAAACTAGTGCAGAGTATGACTAAAGGAAATAGAACTATTTTTATCTATTTATTTATATTTCATTGTTAAATGAAACGTTGACGAGTAGGAACAAACATTCAATATACCCAAGACACATCACATATAACGTAATTAATTTTACTACCGGCCCGAAGTTGAGAACTGTCGAAATCTGCAGATCATCGTCCCGCTAAATGGCGTCAACACAATTAAGACTGATACGTCTTTGATAGTCCAGACGCAGTCAGTGTACGTATGCGCCGAAGTCAGATGCAACAGAATATTGAACAATTGTGAGTATAGTAATTTAAAAAGACAGTGTCTGCATGTTTCTATCAGCCGTAATTTATAGTGACAAGACAATCGAACTGTATCATAATATGAAGAAAGCCACAGCATCACACGACAAACTTTTGATACTCTACCTTAAAGGGAAAAAACACTTCTTTGTTATCGTATAATGATTGAAAGGTAAACAATTCGTTGTTCATGCATCTAAAAACGTTTGTGTATATTTTCAAGGTTTTTCTACTTAACACAAATGCTAATACATCAGACCATTATGTTTTAGAAGAAATTAGTATTGATTTTACCTAACGGACACAATATGTATGTAACAAAAGATCATGATATGTTATGATATACAAAATTTCTCAGAAGAGCTGTGTAACAGCGAACGGCCTCGAGGTGGTATTAATTAGCTAACACATACACGAGAATTTTTTCCTATCGGAATCTGCTCGGGTCTTTCCGTGATATTCTGTATCAGGAATCAAACATTGTATGACGTCACATTAAAATCGTGACTATGATTCCCAAAAAGAAATCTGATTAGAGATTGTCGCCTGATGTAGCTGAAAATCATCACCTTCTCCCCGCCATAAGTTATTGGATTCACCTTATGATTGAAATATAACCTTCAATATGCATAGCCACGAATCAATCGAACGAATCTGCGTTGCATGTTTGCAGGACTTTATCATAGGCGGCAGTCTTTCCTAACCTTTACAAAAAACTACGTACAATAGCTAGTATAGTTCTGGAAAACATTTCAGTAATTTTAATTACACTACGGTAACATATCAGTAATGTTAGTTACACTACGGTAACATATCAGTAAATTTAATTACACTACGGTAACATTTCAGTAATGTTAGTTACACTACGGTAACATATCAGTAAATTTAATTACACTACGGTAACATTTCAGTAATGTTAGTTACACTACGGTAACATATCAGTAATGTTAGTTACACTACGGTAACTTATCAGTAATGTTAGTTACACTACGGTAACATATCAGTAATTTTAGTTACACTACGGTAACATATCAGTAATGTTAGTTACACTACGGTTACATATCAGTAATGTTAGTTACACTAAAGTAACATATCAGTAATGTTAGTTACACTACGGCAACATATCAGTAATGTTAGTTACACTACGGTAACATATCGGTAATGTTAGTTACACTACGGTAACATATCAGTAATGTTAGTTACACTATGGTAACAGATCAGTAATGTTAGTTACACTACGGTAACATATCAGTAAATTTAGTTACACTACGGTAACATATCAGTAATGTCAGTTACACTACGGTAACATATCAGTAATGTTGGTTACACTACGGTAACATATCAGTAATGTTAGTTACACTACGGTAACATATCAGTAATGTTAGTTACACTACGGTAACATATCAGTAATGTTAGTTACACTACGGTAACATATCAGTAATGTTAGTTACACTACGGTAACATATCAGTAATGTTAGTTACACTACGGTAACATATCAGTAATGTTAGTTACACTACGGTAACATATCAGTAATGTTAGTTACACTACGGTAACATATCAGTAATGTTAGTTACACTACGGTAACATATCAGTAAATTTAATTACACTACGGTAACATATCAGTAATGTTAGTTACACTACGGTAACATATCAGTAATGTTAGTTCAACGTGTGTTAATACAGCAATTATATAATTAAGAGTCGTGCTAACACAAGCTAGGGGTCCATATGTCCATATTTGTGTTTAGTTGGAAGTCGAGATGACAATTGATAAACAATTATAGCTACCACAGGTACACAGGAAGCTATCAGGTAGCTTGTATATCTGTCCTGATCAGTCTATTTAGAACTTCATGTTAAAAGTGCGGTATACAAAAAATATGTATGTGTACCGTATTGTTCTGTTTATTGTGAAATGTGTTAAATTTATTCTGGTGCCAAATATTGTACTGAGAATACACTAAAGGTATCATAATGTGTTCAGGTTACGAATGCGCAACTACATGCTATTCATATCAACTTCAGAATGTTAGTTACACTAAAGTAACATATCAGTAATGTTTAGTCCTAAAAATAATAGTTCAATCGAGACGGCAAACTATGATTAAATCAAAATATGTCATAGTAAGAATGACTTTAAGTCCTAAATCTAGAATTGAATACGAGATGGAGATTTAAAAACGAAATAAAAAATAGTAATCGAAGAATGAAAGAACAATGAATGAACTAAGGGATAATAGAATGTTGAACTATCAAATTACACCACAATTATAAACATGTAATTACCCCTTTATAGTAAACAACATCTGTCAGCACACCCGGTCGACATGAAAAAAATCCTGAAATATATATTCGATACTCCAATACAACCAAAAAGAACAAAATACGGCACCTCTGATTTACATGAAAATGTCCATTGATTGACAAGAAACATTCCCAACATGTTACATGCATGTAAACAATCTTAAGTCAATTCATGGCGTCTCAAGTGTGACTAGGTCCGTCCTTTCAAACGAAAACCGTGTTAAACATAGTAAATCAAACACATATAAATACGCTATATTGGCGCTCATTAACCACTCCTTTGAATGCGATTTGACCTCGGACGCTTATTTAAAGCCACACGGGGCGTAACGTGACCTCCCTGACGTGTTTGCAATGTTTCGAGTGGTGTCCATTGTGCAGGAATCCATTGTGCAGGAAATGTTGACCCAATACATTACCTATCAAAGACAACCGTGCTTATTTCTAAAGGAGGGTTGAGAAGCCATTGTAACCACCGTACAGTTAAGGTGGTAATCTTTCAATAAACATTTAAAATATCGTACGCCGTGTGCCTCTGTTTTTAATACGCTGTATTATTAAGAACATAATACTACCAGGGACACGTTGAATAGCCCGGAATTGTTTGGATATAAGAAACTCTCTCACGAATGGAAAATAACAAATAATGACATTTGACTATGGTAAGTTTATTTGCAATTACTACAAATAACAGTATTATTGACACTGTTACACTGTTATGAACGCCCAGTAAAGCTTTAAGTTAACGCCTGGTGTAAGGTAGATATGACCGTGATACCGATGAGGACTACTAATGGCACAGAAGGGAAACTTCCTCTGGAAGTCTAGACGAGTAAGATAACGTTTTTAAATTAGCATTAACATCATAGTTCTTATTTAACAAATTTTAAAACATTCTTTCACTTCTATTTAAACAAAACCTCTATACCTGTCATTTTATAATGATACCGGAAGTAGATCCCAGTTGCGTACTTTTCTATTGATAGATATATGATTTTAATTTGAGTATGAAAATTTGAATTATGATTGTTGATTTTTTTTTTATATCTTTTAGGATGAATTAAACGAAGATCAGGTTACTGGTAAGTCATCAAATGTTATTCTTCCTTTTCAGAATGCAAGAGTATGTTTATAACAAACACGTATTTCTTTTACAAACTAGGTATAATGCCAGAAAAAATGACTGCATTGCGGAACCAACGTTTACTGCCGTCACCATGATCAGGTTATCTAGTACATTTGATACAGAATAATTGTATAAAACCTGTATTTTCTGTAGTGTACACATTGACCATATTTCTTGTTGAATATTCAAAGTGCGCCTTGGATTGGCATAAAATCAATACATTATACATTGGGGAAAGTGGGAAATGTCTATTTTATTATTAAATAGAAATAAGCACACCACTGAAGTGTTGCAATATTCAGCTAAATTCAGTATCAGAAAGTTGCTATACAGCAAAGAGTTTCTGCTATTATCTTTAATAACATATCAATGTAAAAATTACAAGTTACATTTAGAAAACAAACATGATTTGAAAGTAGAGATTAACCTATAATGTGTAATTTTTATTTGATATGATTAATAAGAGTTAAAGAGTGCAACGATTGAAAATTGGATTATAATCTGTTACATGTACATGTACTTATGTTTACAGAAGAAAGTATTAGCTTTAAAGCCTCTTTGTTATACACAATTGACTTATTAAAAAATGCAAAAAGAATGGAAACTGATATTGGCTGTGTGTGTATACATACGTCATACACTTATTAACGTCCTGACATAACCGGTACTTGGATTTGACCTAGATTAAAATGACACGTGCCATTAATGAAGCCAACCTTTCCGGAATACGTAGTCGTAGTGTCCTTGCCATGTAACTCTTTCAAACTTTGCACTATTTCGTCGATTTTGAGTCCAATTTACAGTTTTGATTACCCTTAGGTACTATCATGTTGTGCTTGGGAGCCTGAAGTTGGTTCCTAGTTCCTAGTTCCGTTTAAGATAAACGGAACTAGAACCAGACCCTAGTTCCGTTTAAGGTAAACGGAACTAGGAATCAGACCCTAGTTCCGTTTACCATAAACGGAACTGGGAACCAGACCCTAGTTCCGTTTAACATAAACGGAACTGGGAACCAGACACTGGTTCTGTTTAAGGTAAACGGAACTGGGAACCAGACACTGGTTCTGTTTAAGGTAAACGGAACTGGGAACCAGACACTGGTTCTGTTTAAGGTAAACGGAACTGGGAACCAGACACTGGTTCTGTTTAAGGTAAACGGAACTGGGAACCAGACACTGGTTCTGTTTAAGGTAAACGGAACTGGGAACCAGACACTGGTTCTGTTTAAGGTAAACGGAACTGGGAACCAGACACTGGTTCTGTTTAAGGTAAACGGAACTGGGAACCAGACACTGGTTCTGTTTAAGGTAAACGGAACTGGGAACCAGACACTGGTTCTGTTTAAACTTGCACGATAATTTGGCATTTTTCAAGTTTTTGGTTCTTGTTGATTGATTCACAGCGATATATATAATGTTGTAATATTACATTCGTTAACAGAACTCGAAGCTGCATTCAGCATCTTCGACACCGATAATGATGGCTGTATCACCACTGACGAGCTAGCCACGGTGATGAGGAAAATGGGAGGATCAACCACAGAGGAAGAACTACAGGAGATGATCCAGGAGGCCGACGCCGACGGTAAGTACGCAGGTTACTGCAAGCCAGTTACATATCACATTATACCCTTCGGCATAATGTATTCATTAAAACGTCAATTGGTGAAAGCACAATCATGTGTGTTTTACGAGCATGTTTCTGATTTGTAAAACCAAAAATAAATAATTTAAAGAAAGAACCTTACCTGGTTGAGTATCGGTCACATGAGCTGCTATAAACATATTTAATTTCAAAAATCTCAAAAAAAGAACCATCGAACTGTGTTATATTCTTTCCATATGCTTTGACACTGCTGTTTACTGCATAGCTTCCTTTTCCCTGAACATAGACATTGAGACAAAAAAATCGAAATAATTCATTAATTTTCTTATTCATCCATCTCAAAATAAATTTAAAACAGGAAACTGATAGTTGGTACATAATGTTTTAAATGTATTTATTTAATTATTAAAGGTAGTGGTGATATCGATTTAGAAGAATTCCTTGCACTGATGGCTAAGAAAATGAAGGACACTGACTCGGAGGAGGATCTAAAGCAGGCGTATAAGGTGTTCGACAAAGATAATAACGGTTACATCAGTCAATCAGAACTCCGTACAGTGATGACAAACCTCGGCGAGAAGATGGACGATGACGAGGTCGATGAAATGATCAAGGAGGCTGACCTTGATGGCGATGGACGAATTAACTACTCAGGTACTTATTTACTTCTACGTTAAGTTGACTGTGGATTTCCACCCACTTTTCGCTTAAAGATAAATCATTTAAATATAAAAAGACAATAACTGTTTTGCGATCACAAACATTGCATATTTCACAATTTCAGAACCGCTCATTAAACGCAGAAAACTTAATTCAAAAATTCGTATAATCAACAACAAAGGGAAAAGCAAGTACTTATACGAAATTTAAGAACAAACTAACATCACTACAAATTAAACTTTAAATGAATTAATTGCTTATACCTTATATAAATCTTGCAATACAACACACATAGTCCCTCATTAAAAACCCTTACGTTATATACTTATACAAAGGTAAAGTAATCTAACAAAGTATATAACTGAAATAGCACCAACAGGAAGATGAAGAACGAGGTTGACTACCTACATAGGTCAGCCGGTGTTCTGTTTAACACAGACCTGCCGGTGTAAGGTGAATCATAAACCGGGCATTTTCCGTGATTAAATTTTCAGCCGCCTTTTTTCTGTATCGTTATTTCCGGTTTCTTTTCCTATCAAAATGAAAAATATTTGTTGAGCCTTTTAATACAGTTTTGGGTTGTTTTTTAGTAACTAATGACACAATGGATTAGTGGTTTGAAATTGTTTGTTATGGTTGAATCAGAAAATACTTGTATCGCACAAAACTAAACAGATTACATCACCGGAATTATTGCTGTATACACAGTATTATATAAGATATTCACCCTATCATACAATTAGTTATTTATGTATCAATTATTATTCCCGACAAATGATCGGCCTGAAGTGCATCACGTGTTCACCGATAAAAACCGATATTGGCTTCTCGGTGTTTCTTCAAATAGAATTATGACCTGTCTACAAACGAACGAACAGTCCAGCTTCCGTAGGTCTTTTCAGATTGCTTACATTACTGTTTTGAAAATAATAAAACAATAGAGCCTTTAGCTTCGGTCGATAAATCCAGGTATCGACCTCAGCCAAAGGCTATAATTGAACACTATTAATTGATAGATGTATAGATATACATGTCTACATACAGAAATTGTGTTATCATCGAACCCTCTTAAATGATGTTCATTAACTGACCATAAAAACAGCATTATATCTGCTACTTACGAGGTATTACATTGGAGTTGACATTTAAATCCCGCGAACGTGTTATTAGTAGTTGGTTTTTGTCGTCTGCTATCAGCCATCGTGCTTCAACCATAATTGAACACCATTGTACATTTGACATTTATAGAGTGCCGACGACCTATACAAGTAGACTCCACAAAAAGAAGAATTTCATTTGGCATAATTTGCCTATCAAAATAGACAAACTATTGTTTATTTGTTTTTCATCCAGTGATTGCGTCACATGTCCACTTTCCTATCGACATGAATGTGTACAAATGATGCATGTTTTACGAACATGCTTATAAACATCTATGTATGCATACAAATAAACCTCCGCCTCCGAACGCCTTTATTAAGAGATCGCCCGTGTTTTGATACTACCTCTATTAAGAGACCATCTTTATTAAGATATTACTTGTGTTAAGAGATCATCTCTATTAAGAGACCGCTTATTTTAAGAGACCACCTCTATTAAGAGACCGCTTATGTTAAGAGACCACCTCTATTAAGTGACTGCCTGTGTTAAGAGACCACCTCAATTAAGAGACCGCATGTGTTAAGAGGGGCCTCTATTAAGAGACCGTTTTTGTTCAAAGAACGCATGTGTTAAGAGGGGCCTCTATTAAGAGACCGTTTATGTTCAGAGACCTACTGTGTTGATAGACCACTGTCAATGTTCCCTATTGTAGTAATTTCTTGGTAAACTGATCTTACATTAAGAAAACACCTGTGTTAAGAGACCATGTTTTGAACTTCCTTTTTGTGGTCTGTTTATGCATGTCTGTCTAGACTATGTATGCTGTATGGCAAAACGGTACAGGTGCAAGTTTTTGTTTGAAATTAAAAAGATTATACCTTTCCTTCATATCCTTAACTTCTTGATTTATCATTTATTTTGTTCTAACAGAATTTGTGGCGATGATGACAAGATCATGACGAGCTATCACCGGAAATGTCATATTGATGTTCAACTTTTACGGATTAGAACTGCCTTACATATAATGGACACCGAAGTTGGGAGAGAGACGAGGATATTCCTAGTTAACTTATTCGTTCATGTTGAATTTCGGTAATATTTTGGATCAGCTATACAAATACACTGACTGAAAACTTCCAGACACACAAGGGAATATCTGAGAATTTTACGCCAGGCGTGTTGATACCTTAAAGATAAACGATAACTCTACTACGCATATAAATTGATTTCCTGTAAAATAAAATCATTCATATTTATTGACATGAACTTGATTCGTCGTTTATTTAATACCCAGTAAACAGAGTTTTGCTATATAATATTACAAACACTTTCGAATATATGTAATGGTATGGTGAAGAAGTAAACATGAATATTGTAGAATCAACCTAATGCAACATATGACTTTAAACAGAAAAATCTAAATACTAGTACAGTGGTTGCTGTTTCACTTGATTAAAAACAAAACCTCAAAATACAGTGGTTGCTGTTTCACTACATTTAAACCACAACTTTAAAATACAGTGGTTGCTGTTACACATGATTTAAAACAAAACTACACAATTCAGTGGTTGCTGTCACGTTGATATGAAGCACAACCACTTAAACTTTCATATTTGCTCCTATTATTCATGTCTGCAAACCTGTATATAACGACCATTCGAGTGACAAATCAAACAAATCTAAATAGACAGGTAGCCTTTAATTATTAATTTCACCATTTTATGAATAAATACTACAATAAAATGTCATTATATATGTGAAATTTGGAAAGCTGTCCTGAACAAATGTAATGATAGCAAGATAAATGTGTAACGAAATCTGTTTTAAATAACTCTTGCTTATAACAACCAACTGTCCATGAAAACCACCTGTCTATAAAGACTAACTGTATATAAAGTCGTATTTTCTATAAAGACCAACTGTTGATAATTACCATATAAAAATACCCAAATATGGTTCCGTACATGATACGATGAAACTGTCTATTCATCAACACCTGTATAGTTAGACTATTTGACTCTCTCCCTTTGGTACTCCGTATTGCCAAGTTTAACTTAACACAAGATGATTAAATTTTGTCTATTAGCGTTTGAAATATGTCATTTAGTGTCATGCTTACATTTGTATTTTTATCAAGAGAATGAAGCACAAGACAACGGTATGGACAAATAATTGAATTTAATAACCTTTAATGTAAATGATAGTCATCGTAACACAAGGGACGATGTATTTGATATAGTTTTGATATTACAATATGTTACATGTGGCAAATAACTTACCAGTACGGCATCACACAATGTTCCATCAGGCTGTTTGTTTAGGATGTTACATTCAATTATTCCTTTTTCATTATTCCGTTTACATTGTAAGGGAAAATTAAGTATTATTGTCATTATTGGAGATGATATCAGCCATTAACAGTAGTTTTTTAAGGATGTATGCCCCCAATTCTAACATTGTCTAACAAAGTAGGATTACATTAAATTATGCAAAAAACAGATATTGAAGTGAAACTGGTTGTCAAAATCAAGTAAAAACAAAAGTATATCAATCGTATTGCAATAGATGAAAACTGTGCAACGGGGGATCTCAAACCGATATAATACTATGGGACAATTAATTTGGAAGAAGAAAGGGTTTGTAGCTCCCCATATCTAAAGATGCATTGTAACCTTAATATTTAAGAAAAATAGGTACACCCACGGACCATTTGACATATAGGTATAAGGAAAGATAGGTAGGGTACGGACCATTACACATATCTGTATAAGGAAAGATAGGTAGCAAACGGCCTCTTAGACATGTCGGTATAAGCTACCTCCAAACAGGGTTCCCCGTACCGTATTTGTGTTGTTTGGCGTGAACGATTTAGCAGAAAATGTAACACTGTTGCAAAATAAAGCTTCTCTCTGCAGAGAACAGCGTCAATCATTTCTACTCAGCAGAGAACCTTTAGAACTACAGTTAATGGAAACGCGTTCCTGTCCAGACATAAAGAAAGAAAATTACGGCGTGCATAGTGTATTGTTATGTCTAGCAAGGAGCAAAACAAATAATAGACCTGTTGTTTTCACCTGTCAAATACAGACATATGGCTATTCAGCAAACAACAATTGTTGTGTGCCTCTTGCGAATAGCTGAACCACTTTCGAAATAATGGGTTATCTACCGATGACTGGTTTGATTTACTATCTGGTGATCTGACACTTCTGTTACAGTATCTGTCCAACAGGTAAAGAATCACATTCAAAGTCTCAACATAGGAGTCATATTTTAGGAGAAAAAAATGCTTTCACATTTTTGAATGGGGTTATCAAATTACATTGTCTTACTGTTGGAGAATAGCTATTACCACAGTGGCCTGTGTGAGACTGTTACAATACACCTTATGCGTTACCCTCAAGGGAATAAAACAAAGATAATGATGAAATTGACACCGGTGAATACCTGTGTGGAAATCTTTACAGTTCGTTGAAAAATAACAGTCATGACGTGGTTTGCTTTCCTGTTTACAAGTTGTCCTCCTGGAGACCAACACATGTGGTAGGAATTTATTCAGGATAAACATAATTATACGAACAAGAGAGGAGATTTTGTTAGATTTCCTCACACTATGGTAAGTATTCTGTGAAAAACATATAATAAAAATGGGAAATTGATTTTCATGATTTATCAAAGGTCTACATTACTATAAATGCAAAGACGGTAACTTAATTTTACAATGCAGTGATAAGCTATATTATTTATCATATCTATGTTTTTGATGACTTATTGAATCTCTTTTAGATAATGGAATAGCTGATAATATTCACACTTTACTCATCATTAATATGCAAATAAACCAGTACTCATCAAATGATTGAAATTCATATAATTCAGGGGGTGTTATGCATCTCCCCTCCTGTAGATTTTTTTCACCCTTTTGTCTCCAAGCAACAACAATAAATCCTACAGGGACGAAACAACTATATGATGCAGTGTTTTCATTCTGGGCATGATGTATCTGTTACCAAATCATATAGTGGCAACCACATGTGGGTGTCTGACGTCTGACAAACATATGTGGTGCTTAACTATTTGACAAATATGTATATGTTCTGCTTTGACAAGTGACACACCTATGCTCTCCTATATTGTTTGACATACTAATACTCTGCTAGATTATTTGTCGTGTTAACACTCTGCTAGATTATTTGTCGTGTTAACACTCTGCTAGATTATTTGTCGTGTTAACACTCTGCTAGATTATTTGTCGTGTTAACACTCTGCTAGATTATTTGTCGTGTTAACACTCTGCTAGATTATTTGTCGTGTTAACACTCCTAGATTATTTGTCGTGTTAACACTCTGCTAGATTATTTGTTGTGTTATTGCTCATCTATTTTATTTGTCATATCAATGTTATGCTATATTATAATTATGACATAATAATGCTCTGCTGTTTTATGTGTCATATTAATGTTCTATTACATTAATTGTCAAAGATGGTCGTTGCTTTCTTTCTCTAATAATACTACCTTTCATGACAAGTATGCCTTTTCTTTTTTGCAGGACGTTACGTCATTACTGACAGAAGTACAGATCGCTGGTAAGATCAATGCTAAAAGTATAGTGATATATAAATATCCTAAATTTGTAATGTACATCAAAGTTAAGAAAAGGGTAAATAGCACACATGTCAATTTTTACATTATTAATGATATAAGTTAAACTTTGAAATAATGTCCCTCAAACTACGTTATTACGGCCATCAACACGACTCAAAGATAAATATCAAATGTTTAAATTGGCCCTCAAAGAGACGCCGATTGCCATATTTAGTGTTTCATCGATTTTAGGTTCCACTTGTATTGTTTATTGTTGATTGGTTTTTAACAGAACTTAAGGAGGTATTCAGTTTCTACGATAAAAATTGTGACGGATTTGTGGACCTAAATGAACTTGGACCAATGATGAGGTCCATGGGCCTGAATCCCACCGAGCAGGAAATAATCGACTACGAAAAGCAGTTTAGTGACAGTACGTAAAAGATGAACACTCATTTATAGTGAACAATGTGTTGACAATAAATTAATAAATACTATATTGAAAGGATGTTTTTCATGAATAATTAAATAAAAGTCTTTCCATCGCTGTTATTAACTGTATACGGGCCGTCTTACTATTCTGATTAAATTACCGATTACCATATAATGTTCATTAGTACACCTTGGTGTTTCGTTACCACTGCCACGGTCATCACTTTGAGGACATGACTAAACTAGAGCTATATTTACATAGCGGGTGTCGTTGAAGTAGTCGTAGACGTTTATTATTCCGGATCACCTGTTTATGATTTTTTTCTTTGATCCTTTTCATGGATCACTGCGGAGATTTTTCATTTATTCATATTTTGCCCTAGTTTCATCGATTTTGATTCAAAATTTCATTTTCGTTGGCACTTCGGTATTCTCTTTTTCTGTGACAATGTACTTGTAAAAACTTGTTTGGTAATTGAATCAACCGCATACATGAAACTTAGATTGTTTATTTGTGGTGAATGTTGGACCTATCGACATGTAAATATACCGGTTACAGAAATGTCATAATTAATGGGGAAACACTGGTTACAACGGTACAATTTCCTACTCCAACAAAGTGGTTCTATAAATTTAAATCCAGAAATGTATGTAAAATGTTGATGCGGTTTAACAAAGTACAATCAGTGACATATGCATGTAAATGTTGTTTCTATAGTTTAATTTCATAAATGTAAAATATGTTATCTGTTACGCTTTGTATATCTTTCAGCATCAGTCTGTTAATTGAGGTTTAGTTTTTTACCACCTTTTTGTTAAGATTAATGGACTCACTTTCCTTTGCTCCTCCTATACCTATTTGATAATGTATTTTTTCTCATCCAGGGCATGACAAGAATTTGGATTTTAGGGATGCCTTGGAGGTTGTGGTAGATACACAAGCGTACCCTCAGGAAACTGAAGAGAGTCTGAGAGAGGCGTTTCGAGTATTAGACAGGGATGGAACAGGGTATGTCAGTTGTGCCGAGCTCACACAAATGATGACGTCACGAGGGGAAAAATTATCAGATGATGACGTCAAGGAGATGATGATTGAAGCTGAAGATGGAGATGGTCACATCCAATATGAGGGTATTTCTTTAACTATTGTCTTGATAAACAATTGCAAGAGCAGTAAGCATTGAATGTTGTTCGTAAATTTTAATGATTTTTCTTCTTTTATCTAAAAGAAATCGTTCTATGTTCCTAAACAAAGAATATCTTCATTATTTCTAAAGTGCAGTCCTATAAGATACATCTCTGATGATTAGCTATGACCAGTAAAGACGAGTTGGGTATCGGTGCCCAGTTGGTCGATACCTTATAGGAGCAAGTTATTGCTCACAAGTTTAATTTGATATATTTACAAAACTATTTAAATTCACATCTTAAATTATAAGCATAAAATTTAAGAGTGATTGCCTAAGGACAGAAACTAACAAAATATATAAAATATATTTCAGAAATATTTCGTTAAAGACTCGATGCGATAAACAGGTTTCAGGCAACTTGGTTACAGGTTTTACTGTTACACACATGGCTTGAAGTATCCGCTTTGTCGAGATTTGTATGGCAATTATAAGTATCAGTCTCATTAGATAACGATGAAGTCACTGATTTTAAGAGAAATGTTGTATATTAATGGTGGCCTGCATTTCTGTCGCACCGTATTGAATTGATCGAGTTGATTCAATGACGGGGAAATAAATCGTTGTGTTTCCCTCTTTTGCTCATGTTGGCCTGGTTTTATATCCTGAATGAGAGCCACTATTGCGGTGAAAATAAATATGTATTATCTTTGAAGAAGGGGCAAATGATCATGTATTCCCTTCGTGAAAGCGGTTTATCTTGGGAAACAAATTATCAAGTTTCTCTACGAAAAGAGAATATTAATGTTTATTGTTGTGATGCAAACTGCCACAAAACATGCCATTCAATCAGCGTGGGGCATTGTAGCGATTATATTTTACGTGGCCATATATTAGGATTAAAGAATGAAAACATTTCTATGATTTCTCACATAAATATAGTCACTTTACCATTCTCAATTTCAGAGTTTGCAAAGCTGATTCTGGGAAAGAGCTGAGATGTGTTTACGGAACGTGTTAGAGTGATTTTAGGACGTCATGCTACCCTGTATTTAATAACACTGTAATGATGGACCAGGAATTGTTTACATGATTCAATAACGCTTGTGCTCCCTAGAGATATCACTCCGGAGGATGTGTTTGAAATCCGACCCGGATGTCCTGTCTTTGTGATGGTGGACACCGGCGATACACCGTACACCATAAAGCACCCTTTATCTAATTGATTCGTTCGACGACCATTCAGGCTCAGAGGGAGCGCGTCGCTGTATATTCTGGCTTAGTCCCATATCAACAAGGCTCATCATTCACACACTACGACGTGTTCTAGCTATCTTATATCTTCAGCAACATGCAGATTCTGTTATAGATTTTCTACGGCTTTGCTTTTTCAATTTCCTTTCTATATTAATACATTTTTTAACATATTTATAGATAATAAAACGACCATTTTATTCAAAGTTTGGATTTTAAAGTATTTCTTTATTATCTTTAACAAAATCTTGTTCTGATTAGTACCGAGCTATTTACAACCCCTATAATTTTCCTGTGGCGTCTATTCGGTTACAATTTAAATTTACAAATATGTTTTCAGACAGTGATATGAGTCATTGTACAAATATAGTGAACATATGCTTTTGTGGTGGAGGAAAGCCGGAGTACCCGGAGAAAAACCACTGGCTGGTACTTGACGACTGCTCCACGTTGGCCACGAACCTGTGACCCTGTGATGCAGGGCTTAATTGTGATCGTAGACCGTCTGACGCCTAAAACAATCGGCCACCAATCTTCAAAACTCCAATGCTTTCTAAAGTGTTGGCGACAATTCACTGTGACATGATGTTGCTGCATTTCAAGTTTACGCCATTTAAGCTATGTTGAATATTTTACATAGTGATTCTTCAGTTATTCATTTGATTTGCATACCAAATACAGATTTAGTGGTAACTGATTTTGTGGAGAGAAAAAAATGCGTACCCACACCATCTGTTACACTGAAGACAATTTGGTTTCATCAACAAAAGGCCACGTTCCGTTATTATTGAAATTGATTCGTTTTATAAAAAAAAAACACACGCTTATTTTGGAAGGGGGGATTCATGATGTCTTTACTTTTGTTTTGATGTTACTGCGGTTTGCGTCATTAGCACATATTCATTCAAATATTGTTTATATAGATATATGACAACCATGCTTCTTTCGGAATAGGAAACACTAGTCCCAAACACCGACAGAAAAATCGATATTGAATATGTTTCGTGGTCTAGCTAAATGTTTTGTTGGCATAACATCTTTTAAGAGCACAATCGTGAACAGACTATCGCCTTGTACTGCAGTTAATGTATATACAAAGTATACATTGTATATATATATATACGGACATATATATATGAATAACACGAGAAACATGTATGCTAAGCTTAGTACTGTACAACTACTAACTCTTTAGGTAAGAAAATAATTTTCGTAATATCACTGAAACATATACGAAAAGTACATAACGTATTTTAATCAAAAGAAACAACTTAATGCGGTTAATATAGCTGTAAATTGGTGGAGAACAATTAATGATTGACATCATTTTATATAAAGTCACGTTAAGCTAAAAAGACTTTTAAAATCAAGGCCATGATTGTACAATCATTTGATACATTGCCTTTGAGAACTTATGACTGTGTCTTTTGTGTGACTGAACACGTTAGCTGAAATCCTACATCCTTACCCTGTTTCGTTAAAGGACGAGGTCCTTTGTTCGAAACGCTCACATGCACGACCTTAGTTTAAGTTTCATCTCAAACCGCTCGACCATCGATTTTATTAAATAAATGTTAAGAGCAAAGCCCAAATTTTTGAGCATGGTTTGCTTAACGAATCATATTAAATTTTAAAAATAAAAGCTTTACAATTGTCTTCTTCTTTTTTGTCCCAAGATAATCATTTTTGTTTCTATATATACATACATTCTTGTTTTGTTTTGAATATAAATTATATCGAATATACTTTACTGAATTTGCCTGACGTTATTGTCAGGCATACAAGGCGTTCAAAAAAGAGTCCAGAATGCCAGCAAACAGTCTTTTTCAATCACCTCAAAGTTGAATTATTTTAAGTTAACCTGTCTACGCAAAAGACTCGGAAGATTGTCGGAAGTAAACACGTATAATGGTAAGTCTCAAAGAATGTCTTTGATTTTGGCAGAAATGCTCGATATTTTAACTTTTAGGAACGATAATTTATAAGCAACTTACTTAATCAAAGTCAAGTTATATATTCATGGTAATACATTTGTGTACGTACTGCTGTCTTAAACCATGATTTGGCTGCTTCAATATTGTTACAACGATCTCCTTTGTAGACAGAGGACACACAACTACCAGAGTTACAGGTTGTAGGTAAGCTACGTTTTGATTTATGATAACTAACAAGTACAGCTTTGATGATGATGGGGAGGGAATGCTGCTCAAGGTTCAAGTACTAATGCAAACATTTTGTGAGAAATATCACAATGATCACATTCAACTGAATACTTACTTAGGAGGCATGGTAGTCTAGTGGTAGGACTAAGGGCTCGTGACCGAAGGGCAAAAATAAATAAAGTTTATATAATATTTATATATTCATAGGGATGAAGAAATAAACATGTATATCAATTTTAAATAGATGATATCACATATGTAATCAGTGTGTTAGAAACAGAGACTGGCGCTTAAGGACTTACATTGTCCATTGTGAAACAATACAAATGTTACAGAAATAAAGGAGGTATATAATGATATATACATATATAAACAAGGTGCATACTAATGTCACAGAGGAAAAGGTGTGTGAACATTAGTATTTATACATATAAATGAGGTACATATTGGTATAACAGTTGAAGGAGATGTATATTATTTTTGCAAAGAGGAAGTTTGTCAATGATATTTACAGATATCAAAGTGTACTCTGATGTTTACATATGTGAAGTACATGTGTGTTGGTGTTTACATATTTGATATTTGATAAGTGTGATTTGATATTTACAGAGATGTAGAAGGTATTTAGCCTGCTGTGCAATGTGTGTTGGTGTTTACATATTTAAGAAAGTGTGATATGATATTTACAGAGATGAAGGAGGTATTTAGCCTGCTGTGCAATGTGTGTTGGTGTTTACATATTTAATGAAGTGTGATATGATACTTGCAGAGATGAAAGAGGTATTTAGTCTGCTGGGCAATGTGTGTTGGTGTTTACATATTTAATGAAGTGTGATATGATACTTGCAGAGATGAAGGAGGTATTTAGCCTGCTGTGCAATGTGTGTTGGTGTAAACATATTTGAAGGAAGTGTGAAATGAAATTTGCAGAGATGAAGTAGGTATTAAGCCTACTTGACAATGTGTGTTGTTGTTTACATATTTAATGAAGTGTGATATGATATTTACAGAGATGAAGGAGGTATTTAGCCTGCTGGACAAGGACTGTGATGGGCTGATCCCTGTAGAACACCTAGGCCCTGCTCTGAGATCCATGGGGCTCAATCCGACAGAGGAGGCTGTCAAAGCTGCAGGGGAGGAGTTCAAGTCAAGTAGGTCTCATTTCCGTTAAATATATATACAAACTATCATTTTTATGTATACACTTATATAATTACTGTGCAATTTATTTAACAGAACGGGTCTCATTCGAATATTCAACTTTGAGTGGAGTTATCTCCCTTACATGTTTTGCAATAATCTATTTTAGTCAGAATCCCATGAGTTCCATAGCGCCGTCCTTCATCTTACACGTATTGATTTTGTTGATCCAAATTTGATTCGAATTGTCCAAAATAAATTGATTTAATATAAGTATTACCATATTAATTGTAACGAAAATATATTTCACAATATCAAACTTTTAGAAAAGATGTTATGTGTATACTTATGAAGTTAATAAAATAAACCTAAGATACTGATCGATTTGTTGAAACGTAAGCTTACCTTTCTGGAACATCTGGTCGTATCTTATAATGGTCTCCGTAAAAATGTTTCCTTTGTCATAAGTTAATATTGTGCTCACTGCTGGGTATTCTGCTTTTTTTTATTTAACTTTTTATGGAGTTCTGAACAAACTTCTTGCCTTCTGATTTTTTTCTGGTGTTTTACATATGTTTTATGTCGCCTTGGATTTCTTGCGTTTTGGTATTTATTAAATCACATTTTTTTTAATATATTTACATATTTTACATCCAATCTAGGAGAGAATCGGTCACTGAATTTCGAAGAATGTCTAAAGATAGCAACAGAGTTAGTGAAGGAGCCTGATGAAACCGAAGAGAGTTTACGCGAGGCTTTCCGAACGTTTGACAAAGAGAGAATCGGATGGATTGATAGTGCTGACCTTCGTCAAGTAATGATTAACATGGGTGAACGACTAACAGAAGAGGAGGCATCTGATCTGATAGCGGACGCAAACGGTTTGGACGGACACATCCAGTACGGAGGTAAGGACATATGAGGTCAATGTCATGTCATAAAGCTAACATAGATAATCATTTTACTCTAAATTATATTAAGACGATTGAAATTATGTAATATCAGTATGTTGTCAGAGGTCTGTCCGAACCGTATAGACACCAACACAATATTCTGTTACTGTGAAGTATCTGTAGTCACACGATATGATAGTGTTTACAACACTGGACCACTTTACGGCATTATTTGCCGTAAAGAGTCATCCGGGTCTTTGCCAATAGTGAATTAATGTATAAGTGTCAGATATGTTGTTATTATTGTGTATTATTGTATGATTGTCCTATTGGTGAGGATAAGACATTTGTTTTTGTATTAAAAGTTATAGAATTGTGACGTTAGTTTGGTATTTTATAACGAAATTCATTATCGGAAGGGATATATTTTAGTTGATTCTATGGGCATTTGTAATTCATGAAATTCGTGATTTCTTCATGAAACTCGGTGATCAATAAAGCAGTGAAACCATGCTCGTAAGAAATAACTACATATTGAGAGTTAGATCTTTACAACTATTTTCTACAGATTTTTTTTTCTTTACAAAAGAATGTTTTTATGTTTTCATCAGTTTCATTTTTTCTTCCGTCCTAGATCTCCATAGTCTTACTCCATCTGAACGACCTTAAATTATAATATGACTCAGGCATGGCCTTGAGAGAGCGAAGCTCGTACATAAATTTGTTTCGGTAGTATAGTATATTTTTTAATCATAACATTACCCATTTTAACACATACAAAATGTACCTGTAATTGTTTTTTTTATATAAAATACTTGAATCTGTTGCTGGGCAAAATCATTCATTTTTAAAACAGGCATTGCCTGAAACGAGCGAAGCGTCTAAATGTTGTTTGTTTCAATCTTATTTTCTAAATAACATTATTTAAAATATTATCTATTTATTCGTTCTATAGCGATAAAGTAATTAATGTAAAATTAATAATAAGTAAAGAAAAACATTCGAATGAATTATGCAGTTCAAGAGAAAACACAAATGCATTTGGTATTGTTGCATTTAATTGCCCCTTCTATGGCCTCAGCGTACTGTTGCGGAAAGAGTGAGGCCCAGTAGAGGGACTTCATATTTGAAGATGTTTTGTTTATCAAATATAACTGTTATTATCTGTTATTATAAAAGTTAAGTATATTGGTGATTAAATTCCAATTTTATTTTCCGACATAATATACTTTGCCTGATCCCTCTAAATCGTGTAAAAAGAGAATCACAATAGCCCAAATATATACGGATTTTCGTCTGGTTTGGTAGTTACTATATACTTCCGGTTTGGGTGGAGAGAAGAAAAGACTGAAAATTTGAAAGAAGCTTCAGTTTCTATAATTTTTAATGTCATGAATTTACATAACCACAGAAAAAAAATATCAAATAAAGAGATATTTTTGAGAACGTGTAGCAAAGCTAAACAGCATCGTAAAAATAGGACCGCGGTAACTCTATAATACATGTAGCTACTTCCGTGACGAAGGATTTTGGAAGCATAGTATTTCGACGTTACCATGACTTCAATTGTTCGTACATGTTACCGCTCCTATTAAAATCATTCTCAACATGACACGGAACATTTTAAGAGGATACAAAATCTCTTGTAGGAGTGTCTATAGTCAATAGGATGACAAACGTAACTCCAAGAACTCAATCAGCTCAGCAAATAAATCGCTGGTACTAAATGACAAAAAAAAATGTTATTGGCCATCTGGTTAGCCTTTTCTTCAATCCGTGTTAGTGTAGAAACTATAAAATCTAAAATTATGTAATTTGGTTCCATTCATAAACTTAATAAATTATTGTTTCAGATGTTTGAAATTCGGTTAATTTCATTATTTGTGCGTTCTAACGGCCAAACTCGGGTCCTTTAAGAATTTGATTGTTTGTTCATGTTGTTTAAATATCAGCTATGTGGTAGTAAAATTCACAAAACTACCGACATGGGAATTTTAAAAGCAGTTAAATGCTATTGTTGATGTTTAAAATATTTGTTCCCGAAAACTTTAAGAGATTTCACAGGTTAGAGAGTTCTGGAATATTGAGACTTCATCTCTCAATATGAGGATGTTGAACCCCAATGTCTTCCGTTGTTCAACACCTGTACGAAATGTTAGTATAACTTCGCAGATTACAAAGGAATTAGATCGTTGTGACGGGAGATGTCATTACAGGGTACCACATGTGGTGCAGGAAACTCGTTCACGTTATGAACATGTTATTTCACTTCCCGTTTCCTGTGTGCATGGGTGTATGTGATGTTTGTTGAATGGGTCATGACGCATTTCCTTTTGTTATGTTGAACCATCGATTTTAGTTGTCTTTCGTTTCGATGTCGATATGCATCAATTGGCGTTCTTTCATAATTTTCCCATTTGTACTTTCAAATATAGCTAGATTGTGATTGTTCATATCTTTGATATTATATTTTTGACTAATCATTAAAACATTTGATGTTTATTTCAGAGTTCATCAAACTAATTTTGAGCGATCGTTAAGCTTCCCCCAAAGAACCTGGCAAATTTTGGAGAGGAATCTCAACTTGTGTCCGTCCAATGAACGTTAAATCTTTGTCATTTATTCTATTTTATATATGAAAAAAAATGGTTCTATTTCAAGACTTGAGTGTTCATTTATGCATGTGTCCTAACGCTATTACCACGCACTCTCGTCCCAAGCTATTTATATAGACGGATCGTTACACTAATCTGTGCCGACATGTCCTTCGACATCAATATCTATCAACGCATCTATAGTTAGATTAAGTTATCCAACAGACACTATTTATAGAGGCTTCCCTACCTAAATCAATGAGGATACTTTAATCGGAATATTTCTTTCTAATTAAGCGTTGATAACCATGCCGCTCGGGGTTTTGCTGATAATGACTGGAGGGTTTATCGAAATGTAAAATCAATATGGCCATCTGGTGGAGCCCCACAAATAAAAATTTAAAAAAACATATAATAAAGAACAAATGTTACCAAAGATTATCTTAAACCTTCATCTGAAGATACAATTTAAGTGTTTTTCGTTTTGATATATAACACCTTCTATGATATCTAAAGTCATATCCATTCCATACAATATATTCTACGAAAAATCAAGAGCATGCGAATGTATCGAAAAATAACCTATTTATAATTAAAATCAATGACAAATATAAGAAGACTAAGACCAGGTGTTACAGAGGGGTAGGTTTCTTCTGCTGTATTGACGGCAACCGCTTAATCCATGTAATGGCAAGTCCTCAAACTGAGAATCGGAGTATAGCATCAACAAAACCACAAAACAAACTAAAGAACATAATCCAAACCTTCGATATTCTTAACGACATCATTAGTTTCTCATGAAGACAACAAATATGTATATGTGTTGAATGTGTTTTAAAATACCTTCAATTCCGCTTTCCAAACGTAACTGTTTGATTAACTCTTGTCGGCATGTTTTAAGGTAAAAATTCAACAAAAATAGACTTTAAAGGGTTTGTGAGACATTGGAAGTTAACCGTGTGTGCACTGTCATCAGACAGGCAGTTTCCTCGCCTGCATTAAATATAGTGATTTAGATACAAAATCAAGATCAGCGCCACCTTGCAGCAGATACTGGCCAGAGCAAATACTTGACCATATTTAGAACCATATTTAGAAAACGTGATTTCATCTAATAATTCAACACCTATTCAAACATCTGGAGTATCTAAATGCAAATTAACGACGTAGAAACTCGGGTATGATGACGTAGATACCGATCCACTAACTTTGGGACAAAAATGAGAGTTCAGCTATTATTTTCTTCAACCATTCATACATCCGATGCATCAAACTATAGACGAACACTTCGGAAACTCATGTTTGATGACGTAAGAAGCACATCATCTGATTATTTTAATTTTGTTTTTTTTCTGTTTTTTTCCCTCCTAATTTCTGATTTGATCATACCACTTGTTCCGACCTGGATATTGTTGGTAATGGCAGGTTTCGAGATTGCAATGTCAGCAGTTAAAAATAATAAGGAGCCATATCGAACGAGTACTACGCTATAAATCGACAAAATGAGAAGGTCATGACCTGATTTTTGTGTTGGTTTCATCCATTAGGCATTGATATGGATTTATGTACAGTATCTGGGGTTTGTTATTTCATTAAATGACAAAATGAGTTCTTGGTTCTTTTTGGTGACCTTTTCTTGCTGTTAAAAGGTTAAATATGAATTTTTGGCACGACGTTTCAATGGTACAGCCATCTTAATCAAATGCCTTAATGTTTATGTCCATCACTAAGGAAGCTACCTTATGACGTCATATGTATTGTGTGGCAGATTTGAATTGTATATAGGATTAAAGTCGCCTTCTAGCTCCGAGTTGGAGGGATTTTTTCTTTAGCTCAGTGGTAGAGCGTCCGACTAGGAACCTGGAGATCAAGGGTTCGATGCCCGATAAAAGCACACTATTCTCTTTCATGTTACAAATGGTGCCCGTGGCCCTCCCTGTGGTGACAGGGAGTTAGAACCTGGGGGTGTGGTGTTCGAGGGCGAACACATTTAAAAAGGTGGGGAGTAGTGTGACAGGTTTTAATTGTATATATGATTATGGTTGACTTCTAGCTTCAGTGGTAGAGAGTCCGACTAGGAACCTGGAGATCGAGGGTTCGATCCCCGGTGGATACATTTTGTATCTCGCGTTCACGTCCATGAGTCTACGATACGGCACCCATTGCCCCCGTATGCTTACCTACCTTTATTGAGTCTGGGCCTCATTCTCCAGGACGATTGCCATAGTGTATATTTGTGTACCTAATTACCGTGTGTGGCAATTAATTAATGCAAGATTATCGGAATTAAATGGTATTTCATTACGCATATATATGTGGTTCTACTGGCCGTCTCACCTGCTGTTGTTGCTACCTTGGATCAAGAGCGATAACCCTGATTACTTATATACGCACACACATGATTGAGTCGTATTATTAAGGGTTACGTAACTACGGTAATGATGTCGATATATTTGCAGAAAGCGTGCTGACCAATTCGTCAGTATTGCCCTGAGGCGCGTTCGATTGTGACAATTAGCGGAACGCTTGGGAAGGGGATGAGAGAACCGAAAGCCAAATAAACAGCCGCCTTCGTTAATTATGCATCTTGCATTTGTGACCAGCTAGTTAGCGTCGGGTGCTGACAGCTGTCGTCTGGTTAGTAGTTAGGTATAAGGGTCACGTGTATTATATATGTAGGGGGATATAGGGGCAAATGCTGGAGAGAGGAGGTGCGCTGCTTAAACGTGTCCGGACCCAACACCTATTTTTGTGTAGCCCATGTGTAAAAATGAAAATAAAAAAGACAAAGAGAAATGAAACGGGAAAGCTTTAAAATGTCATTTTAATCATAAGCCGAGAGTCATTTATTTATTTACATCACTTAGCAATGCTGTGAATTAAGTTACGAATAAAATATTGACACCGGCCTATTTCGAGTTTCTTTGTTCTCCCAATGCGAATTTTTATTTATGAACAGTCAAATTAGATTTTCGTCACACCAAGATGTATTTTGCCAATGTTTGCCAAGTCGTGTGTGGCATCAATTGTAAGGAATGGATAGGCATGCGATTTCGACGATTTTTTTTCCACTTCCTTGATTTTGGTTTTGCCCTTTCTTTTTTTTTTTTTTATCAAAAGGACTGTTTTTATTAAGGGTTGAACGGATCTTTTTTTTTTAATTAAATGCTGGCATAAACGCAATTCGGTTATATTCATAGCTCAATGAACGCATGTTCTTCTTGTAATGCTTATGGAGGCAATTGCAGTAGAAATGTAAATATAACAATGTAATAACTTATGCCGAAGTTTATCTAAATGTAATTGACATGTTTCATAAAATTGAACAAAACAATGTGTCTGATTTTTTTTTTATCATAACTTTAAGTATACGAGTTTTGAATGTAAAACTTGATTTATCATTTTTAAAAATGCATTAATGTTCAAAATTCTGGCAATGTTGCAAAAAGCTTGTTTGTTTAACTGAATTTCATATGAATAAATATTGCATTAGTTCATCTGAGGGGAAAAAAGACAATTTTTTGCATTTTTATTTTTAGAGAAATTGTTTAAATGATTCATTATTTGATGTAGGACAAAACTTAATCAATTTCCATCGATTCAATGACACCTGAAGGGTCTAATGGTTCTAGTTCTATGGTTATGTTGCATTAAATATACATTTGTATACGTAAAATGAAACTGGCAATGATGTACCATTAAGCAATGGCAGTATTAGTCTCATAAACAATTAAGTTAAGAGAAATGTAGATTTGTACAAAAGTCTGAATATTAATACATGGTTGAATAAGGGTGGGCATTCGTTTTTTAATTATCTTGTTAACATCAAAAATAAATATTGCCAATAATGTGAATTTATGATTGGTTACAAAACTTAAGTAAACTTTTCAAGTAATATGTAGAGTGTGGTTCCTTCTGTCTGACGGTATTAATTGTTCTGGACAGTTGAATATGTATTGCATGGACTTAATCACCAATTTCCTGTAGGGTACATACATTAAAGAGTCCTCATTCTCCTGGTATACTGGACAACCTTCCGCTATACATTGGTATTTTGATATTACACGTTCTGAATTTATAATATGCCTCTCTAGATTTGAAGGCAAAGATCGTTAAAACAAGATGAACTGATGAAATCACACAAACGCATTCAACACCGACGTGTACTTGTTCGTCAATTAAAGATAATAAATTCAATAATATCATGTTGAGTAATTTTACCAGCATTGAAAAAATATCGATTTTTTTTGTTCCATTGTAACGTCCTTATGTAAATCGCAGTAATCAATAATTTCCCTTTAGTTGTAATGACGCGAACAGGCAGCATCCTATTTAGAAAAGAGGGCAACAAATATAAAACAAATAGTGTTATATTCCTATAGCTGAATTTCCGATCGATCTAATTGCTATGCACATACAGTTTCTAGGGGAAAATACAGGTTCTGTTTTTTCAATGATTACCGTGTTGATACAATTCAGATAATGTTTACCTTATCAATGAGAAAATGCCAGGCACGCCCGTCAATGATCTGGACAGGTCGAGTATGGGTCTGTTATGTTGGGAGTCGATAACATACTACATGTACAACGTTTTTGTTTTTTTTATCTGTTTGTCATGTTGACACCTGCTTAGAAAAACCGGCGTACTGTAAAGCTACTCGTATGCGTTCGCTCGGATATCAGACAGACAACTGCGTTTTTATCAGTATAGTGTTTAATTGTGGTAATGGCACCCGGACTTGTGTAAATAAAAAGGAATCGGTAGGTTACTACACAAATAATGGACCTGTTAAAGTCGTACGCATTCAACCAGGACCCGTCGGGATGACAACCTCTGTTTCAATTCAATTGTGTTTATTTGTCACAATAATACCCGACCTTGAGTCATGGACGGAAGTGGATACAACTTATCCTACATGACTATAAATACAATATATAGCTCTCCAAACTCCACACATATAAGCATGGCGTCGTTTGTCCCAAAACCCATTAGGCCGAGCGTCATGTGCTGTACGTTCCAAACAATACCGTGTTAGGAAAAATGTCTTTCACGACATTGATTTTAACCGTTGTAAACAATAGTGTGTCTGGTTTTATAAAAGACACCTTATGTAGTTAGTGCTGAGGACAGGGGGCGACATCTGCTAACTGAAACATTGCGGTGGGTTCTCCAATATCATTGATTTCCATATACATGTAGTACACTTGTATCAGCTAGCGTCCTCGAGTAATTCTGTGTGTATCGACAGATTTCCAGTTTATAACAGCCACCACCTGACTACCAGCGTTAAAGCCATATTTCCATATATTTACAAACTAATGAAAATCGCAAACCTGTCAGATACGCTGTATTATTCATGGTTAAACGGTTTTCGTCGAATAGCAGAACGGCAGTATTCCACGGCTGAGTGAATCTCGAACACACGACAGCCTCGTTTTCGTTTAGTTCACGGGACGTTACAACGCCACTCGAAACCTAAACACGGACGAAATGGACCCTTTAAACGGAGTGGTAAGTTTGAATGCATGATCAGATCCTTGGTAGCTTTTTGTGTTTACCTCTTACGTATTAGTATTGCTAATGGTTCATACACGATAAATACGTTCAGGAATATATTGGTAATGTTTTTCTTTCCAGAATGTGATTGTTAACCAATTTGGCATCGGTGAGTTACGGGTTATTATTTGATGAAGATATCACTTGCGTTTTTTGTGCTTGTAATCCTTTTTTTTTAATATTTACTAAAACAGACGAGTTTCAGAGTTTACGTTTGGCGATGCAATGTATATATTTGGTTGTGTTTTGCCTTTGATCAACCTCCCAGGAAATATCCTCAGTGATTGGTCCAGCGTGGTTTAGATGTCGGCCTGCAGTTCATCCGCTACTGTAGGGTAAATGAAATTGAAGTTATGGACTGTGTGCAACGGCAGGCGTTTTACCGGAATTTCTGTTCAAATTACCGCGTCAATGTACCGTACATTTAACTGTTTACGTCGTGTAACTCTATTAAGTAAAAATAATCTGACACACCAGCCGCTGAATGAAATGCCGGGTCGATATGACTTAAACAAAATGTCACACATTTGAAACGCGTGTAGTCGTACTTAACATTCGTAGAGAATGTAGCTTTAGCATAGCTCGTGTAACGGGAGTACGCGCTTTATCAGAAAGGGCTTAAAGGGGGTGTTATTAGAGAAAGGGGAGAGGAAAATGATAAGCGGAGCTCGTGTGTGACAAACTATATTGAAAAATGATAATTTAACATGTTTTAAGTACAAGCAGAGACGTTTGTGTGCGTGTTTGTGTGTGTGTGTGTGTATCTCATTGTTAACCTATAGCTACCATTCAACATGCGCACTCACTGTCTACCAGTTAGGGTGTCCCGACCTTACGCGTAATTACGAATCTCCCATTAGGGGCACTGATAGTTGGGGAGGAGATACACTTGTAAACATGTTACAATGTAAGTGAATGAGCGGTCTATAGGTGGGGAAGGAAAGAGGGGGAGAGGGGTTGTTAATATATATTGTGGGAGAAAACGTCAGGAGAAGATCTTATGGGGAAGGTATATTGGAAATGATGTATAAGAGAAGGTATATTTGTACACCTTTCAAAGAGAAAGTATCTTGGATGGTACATCATATACATGTATACAGGAATACATATTTAGGCCAGGGTAACCACTTCCTACATCGTTGTAAGTAAGCAAGAGATACACTGTACACTGATTTGCGAATTCCATTGTTTATATAACGTGTTACACATTCGTTTGTCTCTCCTCGGGGTGATTCACGGTCACATAGTCAATTGGCCGGATGTGTATTGGCGTGGAAAATTATCTCATTCGAATGTCAGAAGTGATTTCCAAAGTCCTCAACAGTCGTCTGTCCTCGCGCGGCCATGCAAATGAATGTTTCTTGTCGCTCATTTGGAATTATATGATAAAACAAAATCATATTTTCATATTTAGCAAAACCAAAAACCAGTTAAGACAGGCATACATTATGTTAGGAAGTTTATGAGATAAGGAAACCATCCTATCATATTTGGTCAAATTTCTACATCTCAAGATGCGCGAATTGTTTGATCAGTATTATTTTCGATAATCTAAGAATCATTTGCCATATTGTTTAATCGTATTTCCCCTTGAAAATAACGGTATCACCAATAAGCGGTTAACAAAATAATTCGGGGAATATATATATAAATTAAAAAAAATATATATAAGATACAAATGCAATCTCATCTCTTGAATATGGACGCTGAAGTTTTCGGGGGGGGGG